TAAGTCCACTCAGCCATCCACTTGCCTCAGCGGCCTCGACACATGGCTTGCTCTCTCCTCTGCCACGTTGTCCTTCCTCAGCTTTCAGGACATCAGTGCTCCTGGTTTTCCTCACCTTCTCAGGTCGCTGTGCTCCAGGATCAGGCCCTGGGCTCTTCTCTATGCTCTTGGTCTCAGTTACTCTCAGTTACTCTGGGAACTTGATATAACATCAGAGGATCCCAAATTTACACCCCAAGTTCAGTTTTCATTCCCCAACGCCAGACTCCAGTATCCAGCTCATTCAGCACCTCGCTCTTGTCTGAAATGCACCTCAGTTTCAACATGTCCAAAACTCACCTCCTGACCTCCCCCTTTGGTCCTGAGCCCACCCCTCTATGCAACAGGTCCACACTCCATGCCCTTTGGGCTGCTGGGAAGCCAGTGAGACCACAGAAGCAGAGCTGCGCAGAGTTCCATGCACACAGCTGACACATCACACTCGGTGACCGTAACCACAGCCTCCAGACGCAGGGAAGACCAAAGGATGGAGGCCGGAACAGGTGCTGGGGAGACAGCCTGAGGGGGACTCAGGGACAATCAGAGAGAGAAGTGCAGTGCTGTGAGGGGATGGAGGGCAGAGACTGCTGGGCTCAGTGGACATCACGCCTGAACCCAGGCCAAAGCCAGACAGTGCCTGACTCTGCCAGACACTTTTGACCTTTAGCCCAGGGGAAAGAATAAAGCTTACACATTACTCAAAAGCAGCTCCCCAGAGGCTCCACCAGTGCTCTGAGGGCAGAAAGCCTTCCTTTGTCATCTTCCCATCAACCACTCCAGCCCTCGAGAATTCTCTTGTGAAGACTCTAACCTAAGTGAACAACAGGACTTGAAGCACTTCCCTCGCCTCAGACTTCACCACAGCAGAGGGCACTTGAGTGTCCCCATGGCATCCTCTGTCCAGAACCCAGCTGGCCCTCAGGAGGTCCCAGATTATTAAGGAAGAAGCAGAAAATTTCCCGCCCAAGATGAAAGTATAAGGAATTTCTAAATATGTTTATATTTCCTTCAGGCCTTCATCCAAATATCTTGGAGAACTTCCTTGGCCTTCCATCAAAAATATCAATTGTAGGGTTCCCTGTAGGTGCAAGGAGTTAATTGCAGCACTATGAATCTATCCACGGCCACTGAAGCACCAGCTGGGTCCCCGGCCAGGGAGCTGACCCACATGGCGCAGCAGACCTCTCCTGACTTGTTCACTGCTCCCCTCAGCAGGGTATTTCAGTAGGTCCACCTGCTCCCCACTCCGTCTCTGGTGAACCCTCTTACCCCCTGCAGCTCTGGCCTGTACTCCGGTTCTTAGATACATAAATAAATAAATCTTTAAAAAAGAAAAATATATATATCAGTTGTCCATGCCCTTCACACAGTCACACAGTCCACACAGTTCCCGTTTTATTGTTTTTATATATTATCTTTCCTCCTTAGCAGTAGCCATTATCAATCTATATATTTAATTTACATCCCCACTTAGAACAAAGCCCCAAAAGCCAGAGGTTTTTGTCTGTTTTGTTGACTGTGGTATCTGCAGCTCTTAGAATAGAACCTGGAACACACAGGGGCTCAAAATATGTTTTCCAAATGAGTGAATCATTAACTACCGGTACTGAACCATTTGCTCTGTGCTAGAGATTTTCCTACACACTGAATGACACCTTTCTTAGCTCATTTCATCTGCATAACCACCCTGTGAGGGAATATGACTATCTTTTCTAGATGAAATGAACACTAAGATCTTACCTTTTGAGAGGTAAGATCACTCCAAGCTCAGATCATCTCTCCAACACCAACCACTGCTTGTACAGCTGAGCTGTGTTAATGTGGAGGATAGAAGGAGATCTGGGGAGGGATAAAGGAAGAAGCAACAGAAAACCTCTAGGAAAAGCCCTCTGGCACTCCCGTCCAGTAGAAAGTTCTCGGTGGTGTGTAGGTCTGTGCCTACTGACTGGAGGGCCGCAAGTCACATGAGCAGTTGAGCACCTGAAATGTGGCTAGTGCAAGAAAGAAGCTATATGTTAAATATATATGACTAGGAATGCTCCTCTTCACTGGGTCTGTGGTACGCAGACTGGTGGGCCAGGGAAAGTGGGGTGGCGAGGGAAGGGGGTGCAGGTTCACAGCAGTCGGCACCTGGGCTGTTTTGTGTAATCCTTGGAAGGGAGACTGTTCACCCCGTTCACAGGGGCAGGTGCAGAGGTCATGCAGGCAGGGCCAGTGTGTCCGAGCCTCAGGGTCCGGTCCTTTCCCAGAGCACTGTCCCCCACTCCCGCCTCCAGACAGTTGGGATGAAGCAGCCACAGCAAGGAGCTGAGTTTTCTACCTCCCCTTCACGGATTTGCACTTAACCATTTCCAAGTTGCTTCGAGGTGGAAGCTAGGTGGCTGGTCCAGCACAGGGCCCATAGGATTATACGTGGACTCAGCAAATGTCTGCCGTATTGAATAAAAAAAGGGGGGGGGGGCAAAGCACAGAGAGATTTCTGGGAAGTAGAAACCTGCAGGCAGCTCCTCCATCCTACCTATTAGCTGCTCATCTTCGATTCTGACAGCACCTTCCAAACACAAGGGTGTGCGTCTCCTCCCTGACGTTCCCCTTTAATTCCACTCAGTAAGCTGAGGAGTCAACCACCGGCATTTTTGTCAAGCCCCAGCCCCTACCCCAACACCCACACAACCAACTCTGGTGCAACGAGATCCAGAACTATCCTTTTTGAGAAATACTAACTAAGGATGAGGCTAGGAATGCAGAGAGGATTTTTGGGGCAGGAGGAGGCTGCACTAAAGGGAACTTCAGAAGCTGAGACAGAACTCTGACAGACGTAAAGGTACACGTGCATGGTCTGGTATTGCAGAAGACAAGGGAACCTGAGTCACCCTTGCCCAGGCTTCCCGCACCCAGCACCTAAACCCCGGTCAGTCCAGGCCCCTGGACAGTGAGCACACCTGAGCAGTCCCACCGGCACCCAGATGTGTGGGCGGTGCTGCTCCCGAGGAAATCTCGCCTCCTGGCTATAAGCTGCCAGGGCTGGGAGCTAGTGGATTTCCCCTCCACACCGGCCGCGGCTACCCCTCAGCCCCTCATTTCTCCAAAGCAAGACGCCTCACAGTCATTTGCTCCATGCTTCCTGTACAATGTCTTTATTTTTGCTCTCGAACTTGTGGGCTGAGTCTATGTGGGTGTGGGAGGGCAGCTGGGTATTTTCTATTTCTCTGCATTTTCCTTCTGAGCTAGGAGGACTTTCACTTCCTCCCCCAAACTCTCAGTTCTGCCTTTCATGGGCCGGCCAGGCCTTCCATCCCTCATAAGCACCAGGGAAATGGAGAACTAACTTCAACCGGCAGCCCGGGCAGTGCCTTGCGGCTACTGAGAAGAAAAGGAAGCCGGAGCAACAGCAGTAACCTCCCTGGGGCAGGGACCCTGGGGTGCAGCGTGAGTAGCAACAGAGGCGGCTTAGGGAGATTTACTCCCTCCCCAGTCGACAGAGGCTTCAGCTCAGATTGTATCTTCTTGACAGTATGGTGGAAAGTCCAGAACTCCACTTCCTTCCCTTGGTTTCTGCTGTCCTGGGGCTCCCTAGACAGTGGCAGCGCTCAGTTTGCCCCCCAAACACCTACCTGCTTCCTCTGCTAGGCTACTTCTACATTTGGGTTCTACATTCTGCTAGTTGTACATTGGGCTAGAGATCAGAAAAGAGATCAGAAGGTGGGATCTGCTACCCTGAAGCACAGGACCATAAGGGCTAGGCTTCTCCCAACCAGACCTAAAGTCCCAGCCCTATCCCCCTGAACCCCAGTCTCCTCTTTGAAACAAAGTATGTTTAGATTCTATGGAGAATTAGAAAACCACCTCAACCAACAGTAGCTGTTACTGGCAGGAGATTTAAATAGGAGCAGAGATAAGGGAGCCTTCTCCTTTTCTCTTCCAAGCACCAGGAACACCCCTTCCAGAAAGCAAAGTTAGCTTCAGGAACGGAGGCCTCTACTTCTAGAACTTTCCCAGCAGGGAGATTATCAGGCTGAGGGCAGTCACCCAGAGCTAGAGCCCAGCGTGGTCTAGCAGCAAAAGCCAGAGTCACCCATCACCCATCACATCTGTTCCGGGAAGTCCACCAACTGCCCCCTTTGGTTTTCCTCTGTGTCCTCAAAAAAGCTCTCAGATCCTAAAAATAAACCTCTGGAGAAGCAGTCGTCCAGTCTCTCCGAAGAGTAGACACACGGGGCCTGTGGCCAGAGCCCATAAAAAGGCCAGCCTGCCAGGGGCGGATTACAGTCCGAGAGAGCTGTCCTCCGCTTCACCCCCCTCTGTAAGGGGAGTCCTGTGTATGCTGGCCCTTAGCCAACACCATCCCTCACCAACTCCTCACTTAGGTTAAATTCCATAAGAGCTGGTATAGGCTGAAGACAGTGTAGGCAGTGGAGAGGGTCTGTGACTGGGCGCCCCTGTCAGCCCCATCACAGTCTGGGCGCCGCCAACCCACACTTACATCTGGGGCTGAGGGGAGTCAGGCGAGGGGGCGGCAAACGCCAGGGACTGACACAAAGATCCCCAGGGTGCAAACTCTCAAGCATCTCCTCTAGATGCGTTCCGGAGTCCGGGACTCATTTGCGTGAAGGCTCGGGGTGGCAATGTGAAGGAGACCAACGGCACGGGTTTCTTAGAGCGCACCGGAGTCGGCTACGAAGACAACAGGGAGCTTCCCGGGCGCAGGACGCACGCTGGAGGGCGCACCCCGCCAAAGGCGCAGGATGCAGCAGGGGGCGCGCGAGCGACCGCCCGCCACCGAACAGCTGGGTCAGCCGGGGACCGCACCTTGTACCGCGGGACCTAAGCTAGCCACGAAAAGGGGGAGCCGTCTGCCCTCCTTTCCTCCCACCAACCGCCCCTACCCCGCCTGCGGCGGCCACCCGGCTTCCCCCACCCGCCGGCAGCGCCAACCCTCCTAGCGCGCGCGAAGCCCTTACCTAGCGCGGGGCAGTGTCCGGGGACCACAGCCGCCCCCCGCGCGGCCAGCAGGGC